GGGGGCGCGCTGGGCCCCGGCTCCTCGCCCGCTCATCCCGAGTGCGGTGGGAGTCGGGGTCCTGCGAAAATAAAGAAGAAACTGTAGAAAACCCTAGGAAAGGTAGCTAGAGTTTTAAATGGTGCCCGTCTGTAAGGGCCTCCTGCTGGCGGCCTGCGCAGCCTTGGTATCAGCGTTTGAGTAGTGCACGTGGATTAAACGGATTTAGGGTGTCACTTAGCTTGGAAGGGACCTCTGCAGGCCGCCTGCTCTCAGCTCCCTCTGAAAAACTCAAAAACACGGTGTCTGTAGCTTACGGTTTTTGGTAAAGGTTTACAGCGTTTGGTAACAAGTTCCTGGAGCAGGCTCTAGCTTAAACAATTTCAGGACGTGTCTAACGTATGCGGTATGGCATTGTAGGCTGAATCTCAGCTGGCAAAAGAGGAGCCCGCGCCAGCTGTTCCTGCTGTAACTCTTCACAGAGAATAGGAGAAAAGGGACATGGCAAGCAGTCAAGGGTGCATTTTCCCCTGTTATATTCGTAGATAACAACTTTGCCAACCATTATGAAAAACTGGTGGAAAAAGTGGCTACAATTAAAAAGTTTTTAGGAACTGTTGTCCAAGAATGTGTAATTAGGCTTTTGAGTTTAAAAATGAAGCCAAAAAAGTATCTTTTCTAGGGCTTCACTTTTAAATCCCAAAATAAGATGTTTGCATTTTCTCTTTTTCCGTTCTAAGAGTACCTGCAAGGTTTGGTGGGGTTTTTTTGGACCTTATTGAGTAGAATGTATCGATAAGGCTCTTAATTGGACTAGAAAGTAAAATGTTTTGGAGCAGGGTTTTGTCAGGTTAATTTTATAGTAAACAGCCTTAATCTTCTTTCAGAGTTGTATTTATATTAAAAAAAGGACTGGGGCATAAAATAAAGGTAGTCAGAAGAAAAATCATCATGCCTTTTCTTTAAGGGAATTGCTGTAACTGATGTTGGGCTTGTTTAATCTGGTGACAACTGCGTGTAGCTCTTAACACATAGCCACTCTGTAGATTACTACCAGTCTTGAATCAAAATGCACTAGATAAAGCTTTAAAAAGGATCTGTATTAAAAAAAAATCGTAAACAGAGGTGATGGCATACGTGACTTTATTCAAAGATTTTTAAACAATTTCTATTAAAATGCAGTTGATCTTCATTTTGTAATCAGATAGTGAAGAAGTGAGACCAAGTAGTTGTCACCGATGTTGTTTTTTCCTCTTCCTCCTCCTGCCATGATTTTCTGGGGTAATTAAGATCACAATCTGAGTTGTCCAGTGCTGTGTGTTTTCCTTATTAAGAGAAAAAGCAGCCTCCACCACTCCAGAAAACTCCTCTGGTAGTAATTAAATGTTTTGTTATTGAATGTGTCACAGATATTTCAGCTGTGTCATTGCTGAAATTATTCTTATTGCAATTCCCTGAGGATAGACAAGGGTTATCCTCTGTGGAAAGTATGGTCAGTCAGGTACCGCAAGGGAAGGGGGGATGTCAGCTCCTTCGAATATACTACTGCCAGGTCACTTCAGTCAGTGTCTGGACAGGAGTAGGGGTGTGGCATCTACCTGAGGTGTGGGTGAATGTTACGGTGTCTGACTTCATGTCTCTTGGATCTATTATAATCAGTTTCTATTAGTAGTGAAGGAGTTCCTAATTTATACATGTTAATATCATCAAAGCCTGTTACAATTAGAGTTTGAATTGAATTGACAGAGGGTACTTTACTTGCTTCAGGGTTCAGTGAATTACATAGCAGGTGCTGAAGAAGGGAAATACTGTTCTGCTTTGTTGTCTTAAGTTTTGATAACTGACTGGACTACTGACAATTTAAAGTAAAGTGTAAGGGTCTTCCTTTTTTTTCAGTCTGGCGGAAGGTAAGGAGGCGCAGCAGTTGTGCTCCTATTTGCACTGCTCAGAATGATGGCAATATTGCTTCCCAGTGAATCCAGGACATTGTGTTACACAGACAGGGCTATAAACAGCCAATCTGCTTTTGTATCAAGGCTTCTTCACTGTAATCAGCTTACACTGCATTTGCTTAGTATACCAAGCAAACCTGCTGTGACAGTGTTTGTATAGTGTCTTATTCACACTGCCCTTTTAAAAGTTTAAGGACTGCTTAGCCACATGCCCACCTACTGTGCTAGCGCTGCTGTATATGTAACAGTTTTCAAACAGCTATTTCCTTCTCTGATTTTCTGAACAACAGGTGATCCCTGTGTATTTGAGCTGGAATTATGGGATTGTTTGACAAGCTGGCAGGATGGCTTGGGCTGAAGAAGAAGGAGGTTCATGTTTTGTGCCTTGGCTTGGACAACAGCGGCAAAACAACAATCATAAATAAACTTAAACCTTCAAATGTAAGTAGCCTACTTAGCTTACTGTTGGTGTTTTTGCTGCAAAGTTGATGTTTGTTTACACTGTTGTCATATGCCTTTATACTAAATGTGACCAAGCTCTTCAGATATGAAGAGCTTTTTGATTTAGTACAGTGGAACAAATACATTTTAAGAGTTCACAACTAAATAAAGCTAAATGTAAGCATCCACGTGCATATTATGAAAGCATTTACCCAAAAAACACTGTTAATGTGGCACATTTGTTTCTAACATCACTCAGTAAGGAAGGGTTTATGATGGCTGAAATCAGGATCTGAAACAGTTTTCTTAAGTCACTTAAATAATTGCTACAGGATTGCAATTATGAGTGATGTGTCAAACATTTGGGATTAATACGGTTGTATAACAAGTTAAACTTGTATACATTTATGGTGTTATTTTAATCTCCTCCTGAGAAATAGTAAGTATATAATAAATAATAAGATAGGAAGTAATGAGAAGATGTGCACTTAATGATGACCAGCATTTTTAAAGCAGAACAGCTTGTAAAATAAGTAAGACTTATACCTGCAGCTCATTTATCCAGTGAAAAGTGTTTTTCAGGCCACTGAGAGTGCCTAGTATTCTAAGCAAAATTTAAAGTAGGATTAGCTTGTTTCTAGGTATGTTTGTGGAATAGAAATAGATGAATTTTGGTATTCATGTTCAAAGCCAGAGGCTTGTGCATCTGGGAAACCATGATCTCTGCTGTTTACGTCAGGACACAGGTTTTGGTTTTTAACTTCCATTGAACTTTTCCTGATGAGTACCGCTGGACATTGTTTAAAAAAGGTAACATGGTAAAGAATCATGGTAAAGAGTCTTCCTAACGTTCCTAGCAATTTTTCTTCCACTGAAAATTAGATATTTGTAAACAAAGACTATAAACTGCTTAATGTCTGTTGCCAATAATTTGGGGTGAAATGCTACAATTGGTACCAGGCAAATTATATGTAATTTGTGAGACCTTCATTATAAGAGGGTTTTTATGTCATACCTTAAGCAGTATAGAATTCCTAACTGAAGCTAAACATGGGCTTCAAGATTTATCACAATAGTAGGTGTTAGATAAGGTCTCAAGGGAATTGCACAAGCAGAATAAATAGAATTTGTTTGCTTTACTGTAAACTGTTTAATGAGAATCTACTTCTGAATGTTTTCATTTAATGTGATGCTTTAGGAGGGTAGTTTTGCATACAACTTTTGTATGTCCTATCCTTGCAAGACATGACAAATTCTCTAATGTGCAACAAATGTCGTTAGATCAAGCTTGATGAAATTGTTTATTTTTAGTAAGTTCAAAGGACAGGTGATTTTGAGCTCTGGATCAACCCAGCCTTCTTAAGAAGAACTGCTACTTTGCCCTATGAGCAATGTGTTAGTTGTCTGGCAAATACCAGTGTTTATCTGTTTGCAGTTGTTTCTTCTGAGCCTGATAAATACATTTGAAATAAATATTAAAGAAATAATGCTTCTTCTGCTCTGCACAAATTTTCCCTTGTTGACAGGAACTGTTGCCTAAACTGTTTATGATGGTGGAATGCGATTTCCATAATGAAGCTGCAGGTGAACAAGCTAAGCTTGCTTTAGTTGAATGCAAGGAGTCAACTGCTTATAGATAGTGTTTTTAATAAGGGGCTCTAGAAAGTCTGTAAAAGGATTGCGTGTTACTTGCTCAGGCAACTCTGTAATGTAAGGAATGTGACCTTTCTCCCTGCGCAGTATCGGTGATAGTTTGAGGGGCTATTCTGTTCTACCAAGTTAGCTCATAGGTTTCATGGCTAGCTCAGCAGTAAACCTGATTATCAGACAGATCGATTAATAATGCTTTATGTATTGACCATTCATGTAAATGGTGATTTCTTCCACTGGTCTGGTAGTTTGAATAGAACTATGGTTAGCCCATTGTCTAATGCCTGCTGTGTGATTCCCAATGTCAAGTAGAGTCTTCTGGCCTGTTGATAGAAGTTTGGAGTACCGCCAGTCTAATATATAGATAAAAGAGGGTATAATTCTATCAAAGAGGCTTGGGATATTGTGCAGACTAGTTCGGGTTGACACTATGATTTCCAAAGCGCACAAATACTGTGAATTTTGACCTTAGTCATAATCTGCAAGCTGTTATCTTCCATGTTAACCTACCTCCTATTTGTTTCATGGGTAATAGCCACACATATGCATACACACAGACTAATGTAAAGGGTGGAATCTCACTCTTAAGGCTAAAATGTCTTCAATGCTCTTGTCCACTAGCATTCACTGTATTTCCCAGAAAATACGAGACTTGGATTTTGAATTACTGCACTTTGCTGGGAACTTTTTTAATATAAAGTATGTGGATTTGTAAAAAGTCTTTGTATGGCACAGTTTGGGGAAAAATAACTCTGTAATGTATTCATGTTTCAAATATATTTCAATATTTACATTTTCTAACTTGATTTTTAAAATTACACTTTCTTTTCTTTAAAGGCTCAAACTCAGGACATCGTTCCCACAATAGGATTCAGTATAGAGAAATTCAAGACATCGAGGTAGTAGTTTCTTTCCATTTAGCACTAGTAATTAATATACAATATTTGGACTTAACTACACCTCTCAGTAGGATGTAACTGAGTAATCTGTGTGGTGGTATAATGACATGACATGCAGTTTGCTGAGATGTTGTAGTGCACAGGAGTCCTCATCGTGATCCAGGACTGACAGTGTTAGAATGTATTTTGTGTTTTGTGCTGCTGTAAGACTATGTATGTGTTAAAAAGAAAAAAAAGTTTTGCAATAGTGTGTATAAGTATCTGATTTCTGTCTGTTTATAATACAGAATAGGGCACTGTTACAGACTTGAGAAACAGTTACTTAGGTGGTAACCTATATTCTATTAAGCACTCTCACTGCAGGCGCCCTGAAGAGATTGCAGTCTAATCTCATTAAATGAAAAATGGTGGCTACAGTATTAGTAATGTAAAGACGGCAGGGGCAAAGGTCAGGAAAAGGAGGAAGAAATCATCAGTTAAATGGAGGCTAAGATACAGAAAAGCAATGTTGTGAGACAAGCATACTTTAAAGTGGTAACATTAGATATTATTTTATTATTCTGTAGCCTTCACAGTGTGTTTTTAATGCATGCAATTAGTCTTGATTAAAAAACCAAAGAAACCTACAACCCACCCCAGAACTTCATTAATCTAATATTACCATCAAAACATTGTTTGTGGATAACTGTATATGTGGCAGAGCAGCTAGTCTAGAATCAGATGATGCCTGGATATAGAGTGGAAAGGATACTTGGAGAGCTTCCTTTCTAAACCTCCTCATTTTGATGTGGCCTCTACTCAGGGAGCTATTTGGGACTACCCAAAACAGGAAAGCCTAATACTGAATTCAGTGTTGCCTCTGTAGACATTTCAGGAGTAGATCAGAATTTTTTTATAATGTTCTTAAAGTTGACTTGCTGTATTTAGTGTTTGGGTGAAATCTCAAAGTTGCAAAGACTACCCATTTGTAGCTTGGTCATCTCAGGTGACCTGTTGTTATCAGAATGTGATTTTTTTTCCTGAAAGTGGATTTTTTTTTTTAAAAAAAAGCGCCTTTAATTTTGCATACAGATGCCTTTGGATGCTATTGGTGCTTGTCTAGGAACAGAATTTAAGACAAGCTATAGATTTTAAGTCATGGCTCATCTGAATTTCATTTACTCAACATTATGAACAATATTCGATACTAACGTGATAAAAAGAGAGGCTGAATGGGAGCTTATTTTGTATTGAATATAACTTTTAATAATTGGCTTAGTTCTTTTATTAGAGAATTAACAAACACATTTCCCATTATGAAACATGTCTATAACAAGACTTCAAAACCGGGCAGGAGAGTTTGAAGACAGACAGAGTAACCAGAGTTCCTTTGGGAGTCTTTCTCAGTTGATTAGGGTTCAAGCTGATCTGGCTTTTTTCCTGTCAGGCTAGCAAAGAGAATAGTTTGGGTTTGGGTTTTATTCTTTTATTCTGTGCCTCATACACTTCTTTTCTTTGCAGTTTGTCTTTCACAGTGTTTGATATGTCAGGTCAAGGGAGATACAGAAACCTCTGGGAACATTACTACAAGTAAGCCTATCATTTATTTTAAAGCCTTGCTGTTCTTAGGAGCTGCCATGTGTGTTATTTAAACAGCAGTATGATAATATCTAGTGTTTAGAAATAATTCAGAGAAGACTTACACCTGGTGTTTAACAGAAGGTCATACTGGATAAATACAACTTTTCTTTCTCTTCTAAAAAAAAGAAAATTTCTATATGCTGTTAATCACCATGCTTTTGGGGACATTTTGTTGACTCAGAGATTGGGGGGAGCATACTAGAGATGGGGTTTAAATGTTGAAACCAGAAAAACCAATCCTGTAAGAAAGGCCCAAGAATACCTATTTTTCTGTTATTCTGTATGTAAGTGACTTAAGACCCAAAAGATATGGGCTGTTGGCTGAGATTTTTGGAGGTGAGGGAAATTAACCTCAGAGAATGAGGCACATGTAGCTAAGAACTTGACCAGGTATTTTTAGATGTTATTTATTAAACAGGATATTCACTGTACCTTATAACACTATGGTATTGCCTTACTGGTAAGAGACACCATTTTCTGTTTTTCTAGCTTCTAATGAAACTTGAACTTTTGTTACTTTTTGTGTTGTCTCATTGTTACTCTGTAATACCTGATGCTGATCTAAATAAGGTGAACAGCAGTAAACAGTATATAAATAGCTTGGAGAAATAGAACGGAGAAATTCTGAACATTACAATGTTGATTAAATATTAATATTCAATGTGATAAAGCTTAAAGTATTTTTTAATTGGGGATTAACACTTCTGTCCGTGCAAAGTGTGTTAGCTATTTGAAAACATGCTGTGTGGGTAGATTTTCATTGTTGAAGAGTGTTATATGTACATCTCCCAAAACTTTTGGATTTCAGTAACTAATGCCCTTAGGCTGCTCTCAGAATGCTAGCCAGGTGCTTCATAAGCAAATAATTTTTCTGACTGCTGTATTTATTGCAGTAACTTATCCCTTGTGTAGCATGAACTGCTTTTTTCATCTTAACAGTAAGGGGGTTTCTTAGGTAGTGCTAACAGTCAGACGTGCACTTGTGTCTACATCTGTTGCTGATCCAGTGCAGTAGTCACATATATAAGACTAACTTCTAAGAATAATATAAAATAATAATGTGCTGTTCAGTTTATAAAGTTCAGCAAGATTTAATTTTGCAAGAATTGCAAAATGACAATCAAATCTGGTCAAGTATCTGTGTCTAAGTAGTTGCTTCAGAGTATTTCAGGCTTGCCCTTTTCTTCTATTTGGCTTGAAACTACCTTCTAGGATATCCTCAAAGTACACTTGTCTTAAATATGTGTAAACTCATCTTGTGTCCCTATTACTGTTACTTCTTTGTGAAGTTATTTTTTGGTGGTAAAATACATGCTAGACTCTGACTCCACTAGAAAAATAGTATATGCTCATAAAAGTTACTTGGACATTCTCAGCTAATATGCAAAAGCTTTATTTGCTGTTACAGTTGTTCTGTACTCTAGAATTCTAAAGTATGGACCTTCTCATACAATCTTAGGCTGGTCCAGTTATTTCTGTTTTTCATAGGTCTAGCACTGTTTCTTCTCAAAATACGAAGGTAGATGGTGCTGGGGAGTGACGAATATATCCGTAAACATATCTGAGAAAAGTAAAACAGAGGAGAAATTAATATTACATTTTAATATAAGTGAAAAGTACTTTTTGTGGGTGGTTATAACTGTTCACATGAATTGGTCAGGCTTTATTTTGCTTTCAAAGAAGTATCAATAAATGGAACATCAAGTTATAAAATACCAGTAATATCCTGAAATAATGAGTTGAATAGCATGTATATATGTTGTGACTGTGGTCCTATTGCCAGCAAAATGTCTTAATGATTTGAAATAGTTGAAAGTTTTTACCTGTTATTCAAAACAAAGGAAAGATCCTATTTATGCAGACTTTCGTAAAAGTTAAATAAATCTGCATATGCCTAGTTGTTAAACAGCTGTGGACACAGTTTTTTCTAAAAAGGTGATTGACCTTTCTCTGAATTAACTTGGTTTTGTGTAGGAAATAAAGAATCTCTACAAAAACCTGTCTTGAGATTTTCTTTATCTGTCTGACCACACTGTCAGAATAGCAGTTGTTTACATTTTTGATGTTCATTTTTCAGCCTCAGTAATGAAAACAAGCTTTTTTGAAGGGTGTGTGTGGACTGAACATTGTATGAGTCACACAGCTAACAACGTCATGTCTCAAAAGAACTATGCAAGTTACCAAAAAGTTGAATTTCAGAAATAGGGCTAGATTCAAATGTTAATGGTAAATAACAACAAAAGTTAGAGGAAAAGAAATAATGTTTGTTTTTCTTTTTTTTGGTGTTTCTTCTGAAGCCTTTTGTTACAGTTTAAGAGAACCTATAATTTGCCTCTTTGCTCTTTTTATGTTATGCAGAGAAGGCCAAGCCATTATTTTTGTCATTGATAGCAGTGATAAATTAAGAATGGTTGTGGCCAAAGAAGAACTTGACACCCTTCTGAGTCATCCAGGTGAGGAGGCTTTTTTCCCCTTCTGTCTCCATATTTGTTACGTTGTCTTAAGAAAAGCCCTTCTTATCTGACACATTCTGTGTTATGAGTACTTCACAAATATTTTAGCCATTCATTAATACTAGAACAATAATAGTCTTCAATAAGTTTGGGGGTTTTTTATACCTGTTCACATTTACAAATCATAATTTGGTTAGCTACAATGAGTTGGACCAGTGTCTTATTAATTAATATAGGTCAAAATTTGCATTATTTTCAGGAAAAATAGACTTTAACCCTTTGGAAGCTAGAGAGCCAGTATGTGATGACAAACACATACAAAAAAAGTATCTCCTTGTCTGGATTTTTCCATGAAGACATCTAATTCCTATAATGTAACTATTAATTAATTTTTTTCATCTTCGTTTTATTTTTTTATTAAGCTTTAGCCAGAAATAAGGATGGATAATTACACCAGTCAGTTTCAATTGTCTATAAAAGGATACGTGGGATGGAAGAGAATATGAGAGGATTCAGGTTTGGTGGTTTTAGGGTTTTTGTTTGGTTGTTTTTTTTATGTGAGGCTACACTTCTTTAAGTTCTGAGATCAGTCAATTCTTTGCTTCTTCGCCCTTCCATATAGCCAACATCACTGGAATGTTTTTGTAAGCAATATGCAGTTTTGACTCTCAGCATGTCAGGTAGCTGTTCTGACTAACCAGAGTATAAAACTGCATGCAGGAAATGTAAAAGTTAAATGATCTGGTAGTGTCTTATTTATTAAGCTGGTAGAGACTTAAATAACTTGTGGGGTTGCTATGCTGAAAGAAAGAAAGGAGAAGCTGACTTCTATTTCTAACCAAGAAAAGCAGTATGTGATAGGGGCAGTTATGTTGTTATGATTTTTTTTTTTTTCATGAAGACTATATATAATACATTAGTTCATCAACAAAGATGCTGTAGCTGAGTGTGTATGAGCTGACTGGGCCCTCTTCATTTCATGTTCAAGGGTATGGGTCACTTTAAATGCAGACAGTGAAAAGACAGTCTTGCAAAGGTCTAAGGGGAGGATGAGGTGAACCAAAGGCTGCAAGAGGATTACACAGAGGCCAGGGAACTTTGTACCAAAGTAGGTATTAACTACAGTGGTAAAGGGCGATTCTGTTGGTAAAATGGAAAGCGCCTAGGACCAAGGGTGGCAGGCAAAGACTGCTGTAATATGTTACTGGTTTATTAGAAGGCAAAATAGTGAAAATGTTAAGACTGAAGAGATGCAAGCTTAGGTGGGGCTTTTCATTTAGGCATTAATAGTTTAGTAATGCTGGTCTATAGAGCAGGTCAACACTGCTCACTTGTTGATGTGTTTGTGTCTTCTAGTTCTGAAAGACCATGTCGATGGCCACCTAGTGCAGTCCCTAGAACCAGGGAAGGGCAGTTCTGTGTTTCTGCCTTGGAGCAGCTCAGCTCAAATGCAGCAACAGTGTTCCTGTTTTACCGTTTCACATTTTGATAGGTCACATCTAAGAGAACCAAAGAGAATAAAAAGTTCTTCTAATAGTAATGTTTGCTAAAAGTAGCTGTTAACTGACTCAATACATAACTGTTTTACTATATCAATATTTTTCTTTGTATTACTGTTCTGATTTTCTTCCTGCATGCCCCACTTTCTCCCCATCTATGCTTCTGCCTCTGTGAACCTCCTGGAGTGGTTTAAATTTACATATTTACTTAAGGTTTAAATGGATGCAGGGTAACAACGCTGAATCTATTACTGTCTCTGAAAATCTTAGCAATCCTTCAGTAAAATAGTTCTCTCTCTTTTTGCCAGAGGTTGTCAGGCGAAAGGGAATGTGTAACGTGAAGCATTAATGGGATTAGAAGTCATACTAGTTGGGACTGTTTTGTGAATCAGAACTATAAATTTTTTTTACTTAAATTTAAGTGGACAATGCACTCTACAAATAACGGCTTGTTTAATGATCACTGTTATAGTATTTTTTTTTTAATCAAACTTCTTTCTTCAGTGTTTTGCAAGATGGGAGTCTGTAGATTACTTTAGATGTTAACTCTTGGGACATGTGACCTCCAGCACATGCTTCTAAAGTAAACTGAAATTCCTGTGAATTACACATCATGCATATTTAGTGTCTGGGATTTTTTTTTAATATGTTAATTCATAACTACTTGCAATTAGAAAATGTTAGCTTTCCTTTAATAACTGTAAAAATGGGAGGGGGAGATACTGCATAGTAGGAAACAACATCATAAGGTAGGAAATAATGTAAATTTCACCACTTTATTTAGCAAACATCTTTAAGTGTACATTTACGAGTCTATGTGGGTAGGTTGTGCCCCTTTTTAATTGCGTTAAAAAAACACTGAAAATTCCTTTATTAACTTGGCATTTGCATATGTGATGTCAACTAATTTCTGTGATTTTAATTTACACATAACCTTCAACCTGTGGGTACCAGGGTTCATTTAATTATACTTGAGATTAATGTAGAAGTTTCAGTCAGGAGACACAAAAGCTGTTCAACTATGGAATTAAACCAGAGACTTAATGATACCCTGTGCTTGTAATTTGAGGCATTTGATTTGTATTAGAGGATATCAAAGGAAAAAATAGCTCCAGATAGGTAAATAGTGGTGAAAATTGTCAGCGTTTTGGTCAGCACTCATGATGTCAGAGTACAGGTAGATAGTGTTATCTCCACTGATTGTGGAAAGGTTCGGTAGGGGGTTTGAAAAGAACATGAATTAGGAAGGTTCAAACCACTTCAGCATTGACAGTTTGTTGGGTTTTTTGTTTTGTTTTGTCCTGTCCTGTCCCAGCAGGAGCAGCTGGCTTATGTATGAAGTTTTTTAATTAGTCCTTAGCTTGCTTCCTATGTGAAGTAACCTTATCTTTTTACATTTTAAAAAAAGCACGTATGGCAGTTTTCACTGGGGGGTGGAGTTCCCATCAAGAACTGATTGATAGACTCAAATGCAGATTTTCTCTAGTCCTGTAATTAGTCCTTTATTTAAATGTGAAAAATTCTTAGTTAGTCTTGGTGCTGGTAATGTTTTGGTAGTTTTACGGCTGTCAGGTTGAAGAGAGTGTACTTTGTTTCCTTCCAATGACTCTCTATTTTTCTGTGGTAATTAGCGAGGCTTATCCTTTTGAATGTGTAGGTATGCCAGAAATTGCCAGTGTACTAGTTTGGCTCTGTAGTGCCCACTGCTAGCTGAGAAGAGCTTCTGGAAAAGTCGTCTTTGTTTAAGTGAAGGCAGGATAAGGGATGTCCAGACGTGCATTGTTTTTCCTGTTTTATTAATTTCATGAAGTCATGGATGCTCTCCAGGATGCTAAAAAATAATTCAGACTACCCTTATGTAACTATCGTTATGAGGTTATGAGTGAACACAAATCACTCTTCTGTCCATTTTACACATCCAGTCCTCACTAAGCAGAGATGTGTAGCATTTGTAGGCAGTTGTTTGATCTCCTGTTCCTCATCTTCACCAGCAATTTATACCTGCAGCTTTAAATGTACGTATAAGGTAGGGGGAGAGGGGGTGGAAGATCCCAAAGCCTGCCAGGAAGTTTGTGAGCATTCTTGAAGCATGCATCAGAGGCAATGTGCCCAACAGTTGTGTGTCTTGGTAGGATACAACCGTCAGAGAGTTGCGGTTACAGGTGAGCAAAATATCTTCCTGTGTGGTTTGTAGCTTATTACTTGTAGAGATTAAGAGGTGCTGCATAATGTCATGATAGTTCTGTTTCTGCTCATGCCTAGATATTAAGCACCGTCGACTGCCTATTCTCTTCTTTGCTAACAAGATGGACCTCAGGGACGCAATATCATCTGTGAAAGTATGTCAGTTATTGTCATTAGAAAACATCAAAGACAAGCCCTGGCACATCTGGTAAATTTCCCTTTTTCTAACCATTTATTGGTATTACTTTGTATATCCATATTTTACATCTATCATGCCACTCAGTATTCTATGACATAAATTAAATCAGCCAGATAAAATGCTGTGCTTCCACATGTGCAAACAGTAGCAATATTGCAATAGTTGCTATGAAACTTGTTTTAAAGGCACAATGCATTCATGTAGACTGCTTGAAAATTTTCACAATAGAACTGTTACAGAAATAATGAAATGGAGGACTTCCAGCAAAATCAGAAAGCAGTGTTCTTATTAGAAGAATAGCTGCTATTATTTTTTTTGCTGGGAAATTGAGTAGAATTGTTATCACAGTGCTGCTGCTAGTTTGTCTTGCAGATTTCAGAACATCAACAATAAAACCTTTAGAGTTGTTTTCCACTCTGCAGATGCATTAGTGAACTACTGTTGAAAGGCCATTTACTAAACTGCTGTCATGTGAATTCAGAGGGACACTGTACTCTTTGTACCATGTAATCTTTGAGGGGTTTCTTAGCTGTAGGAGCTAGTGTCTTTTTCTGAAGGATGTAAGCTTTCATATAAATAGAAGAATTTTGTGCTAGTGTTCGCAAGAAAAAAAACTCTCCTTTTATCAGAAGTTAGATTTTTTTGTCTTGTCAAAGTCCTCAAATATTAGAAATAAAAGTAAAATCAGCAGCTGAATGCTGCTGAAAACTACAATTTTCATTTTAGGCCCTTTTAATACTAAACTTTATTACCTGGGCATTGTTTTGGGGTCACTGCTTTTTGTCTTAGAAATTACATTGATGAATTCCCAAGCTCCTTGGAAGATAATTTTATAGCTAACCACAGTAACTGTCCCAATTCATTGCTGTGCTAGTTTTCATAAGCTGTAGAATGAGAGGACTTTAAACAGTTATACCCCTGTGATTCAAAAGGTAGATGTACACTGTTCTCAGTGTAGCTTAATATGAATATATATTAACAGACACTCCTAGGGTTGCTGTTACAGTGAAATGTGTATGGACTGTACTTTGTTCCTTGAGTACTCCCAACATCCTCGCTGTGTATAGGAACTGTGTGGGAGGAGGAAAGGTGCTACTTCATCACTGTTGTTGTAGGTAGTCAACATCTTTTACAGCGTAGTCTGAGGAGGAGTTATCCAAGTAGAGGTGCAGCAGAACAACGTGGCTGCCTTGTGTAGGAGCTCTTCCAGAACACCTCATGTTCTAGGAATGATTCTTCTGCCTTGAAATTGGAGTGAAAATAGATTGCATCTTGAAATGGTGTTTCCATATTGGGAACGTGCTCTAGAATATACCATTTGAGAAGCAGCCTTCTCCATGTGAAGAGAAATTAAGTAAAGTGGACTTGATGCTACTTTGCAATTCTGTAAATTACAAGTATAGTGGTGATGACTAAAACTGGCAGTTTTACAATGTTCTTGTAATTTCATTTGTTTCTTTCAGTGCCAGTGATGCTCTCAAAGGAGAAGGATTACAAGAAGGTGTGGACTGGCTCCAAGGTATATCATATGTAATTCCCTTGCTCTATTTCCATTCTGTTAAACTTCTTCATTTTGTAAGTTTTTTTCTTTATTATTGCCTTTGTTTTCTTTCTGTCCACTCCTGCTGTCAGATCAAATTACACAGTGAGTACTGATGCTCTATCTCATACTTGCCTTTCATTTACCTCCTTAATGTACACAAAAGATCATGTCAGTTTCTGACAGAAGTGTGTCCTATGAAATATGAATGCATACTCTTCAAACAGCATAACACTTTCTTGTAAACAATAATAATACCAGGTGCTCCTGCACTTTGATTTATTATTGTGGTAGTTCAGTTTCTTCTTTAATTTATTCTTACTGTTCTGTCCCAGTTTTCCATAACTTAATGTTATGTATCAGGAAATTGTGAATAAGCAGGCTAGAAAAATAAGCAAAGTACACAGACAAATACGCTAATTTTGATTATTCAACTAAAGCTCTTTAATCTAGAACCAGAATAAGAACAGCTTACATTCTAATGATCACAGCATATGCAGACATTCATAACTACATAGAAGATATCAGATCCAGGTTAGATGCTGAGTTACATACACGTTTTTAGTTACACACTTCGTGTAGATGCAGCCACTAGATGTCAGGGATGCTCTGGAGCCAGCACCACTGAACTTGAGAACCTCCAAATGCAGCTGCGCAGTACCCAGCGTTGCCTCTGACTTAATGCGTCTCCACTTACCCATGGGTACCAGGCTGTCCTTTCTACTTAGAGTCCATACTGCTAATTAGAAAGAGATTATTTTACTGTGTTATTACAGAATACAAAAATGTTGGGTCATGTTTTCAGAGGAAGGGATACTAGCCAAAATAGTCTTTACAAAGAGATTGACTGCCGTGCAGAAGAACAGTGATGCATCCTCCACCATCTAACAGTTCTGTGGTGGGGAACCAGCATCTTACTGCTGAGTTTCCTTCACTGCTGTATGCAAATGCTGTATGTATGCTGTATGTCACATTCTATCACATAAAGGCAGATTCCAAATCACGTGCTTTTTCCTAATTTCAGGTATAGTTCTGATTTTGTAATATTTTGATGTGATTTTCAGGGTCTCTGGTTATCTTTGAGGAACCTTCTAAGTTTCAATCCAAGTTTTGAGTTAATGGTTTTTGTACATAGTTTCAAGCTACTTAAAAGGATCTCAAATGCTTGTCTAAATATTTAAAACATTTTAAAACATATGACAAAACATTTAATTTGTACATCTAGCTTTTTAAGCACAGTAAGCAGGTGCTTCTGCTGTCAGTGACTTTCATAGCTCTTCATAGCTATTCACTTCTCATGGATTGTTAAATTTCTTAACTTTCTGAGCTGACATTCTTCATGAATGGCCTTTATCTAAAAGAATTTCCATTAACTCCCCGGCTTAGTGTCCCCAAAAGCTTGAGAGGTGTTGGGTTTAAACTGTATTGTTGCCTAAGCATGCAGAGTTTGGCAGTTGTACTTTTAATGGATGAAGACTTCAGTATTTCAAGAACAAATTTTTACTATAGTTCTCCTCCTCATTGTTAGAGCACTAGACAAAAATACTTTAAACAACTCTTGAGTTATAATGGTCCCTGCATCACAGCCTGTGGATGCCATAAAATTCAGTGCAGGAGCTGACACCTGGTTAATGAATCCACAGTTCTCCTTGTCAACAGCTGAGCCTTCCTCAGTTACCTTTTGCACATCCACTACAGGGAGCTCACAGATTTGGGATGGCAGGGGCAGCAGGTTTCACTTTTTTTTCCCCTAGAGAAGGCTGAGTTTGTGTATTTCCCTATTTTGTAGTGGGGTTACTATTGCAACAGCACATCATCAATAGGGTAAAACTAACTTGTCTTGCAATGGTCTAAACCCAGCTCAAAATTCCCTGTTAGTGGGAGAAATTGTGCCGATTTCCACATTTTGTAATGAGGATGCAGTACATCTAAGCTAACTAAGGAAGTTTTTGAAGTGAATTGAGAAGTGGCAATCAGGAAGCAGTATGGGGAAGTGTGGCTACTGAGAGCAAAGAAGTTTTCATGTGAGTTGTTCAAAAACAAACTTTAAATCCTTTGCTGTTGGGCAGTTGAAGTTCATGTTTAGTTATGTGGGAGCTGAAATATGTACAAGGAATTGAAATACATAGTTCATAAAGTAAACTTCCAGGCCTTATTCTCATCAAAGTTACCTTATAAACCCAAAAAAAGATAAAAATTGAATTATGTGGGAAGAGTCTTCCTGTTTAATTGGGAACATTTGGTGGAAACAACTTGGCTGTGGAGGAATTTCAGAAGTGGATGACAGAGCAAGTCGAAAACAACTCTAACCTCATTGTTCCCCACTGTTGTAACTACAACCAAAATATCTATTGGTATAGTTCTGTAACCTGGATAATACTGGGTTATGTTTTCAAAAAGCAAAATGCAGCAAGAATTCATCTGGTGTTAAGACTAGCTGTTTCTTTTTATTAACAGATCAGATCCAGGCAATGAAGACATGAGAGATAAATAAAAGATGTATGGCGTTGTTTTACAAACTTTGTCAGCAGGTGCAAAAGTCCTTTGGAAAGGAAGAATGAGTTAAAGAAAATGAACAGTTCAGCTAAAATATACTGTGTTGGCTTGTTTCCTTTTAGTATATTTTCCAGGAAAACTGAATGTAGACAACATAGCACCTCAGGTATGCACATTGATGAATTAAATTGAATCTTGTGACTGGAGAGCATATATTTTAAAAAAGATATGTGTTAACAATAAACATCTGCATTCCTTTGAGTTTTAGGTGATAATTAGCCATCAGGAAATGCCCCTCTGTTTTTTGGGGGGACACCTTTTGACCAAATGGGAATATTTATTTTCCTGAGAGTGTAATCAGCACTTCCTGAAATACAGCTGCATGAGATAGCTAAAAATGGGCACCTAATATCAGTAGATATTTCTGCAATTTTTTTATTGTAATTTTTGATGTTGGATATTTAGTAACCATCTACAATAGGCTTCTAGCGCAATATTTTGATTTAAGACACATACATTCAACTATTCAGCATGTTTGTTATAGATGATTGCAGATGTTTCTAAGGAACTGCTTTTAATGAAATGTTATGAAATTTTTGTGATATGCCATGGTTATGTTTGTATTCCCATCAATAAAACTTCAAATATACAACTTTCCATGGTTTGTGCTTTAAACTTAAATATGTTCATTGATGGTCTCTACATCTTAGAGATTTTTGGTTTTCTGTTAATTTCATTTGGAATTTGTCTATTTTTGAATGGAAGTAGCACTATATAATGTAATAAAATGGTATCTCTTTTGCCAAGGTTTTTTTTCATTGCATATATTTGTCACAATTTCTAATAAACTAGACTGATCTTCCAGATATTTAAGGAGCATATGGGTGAAAGTTATATTTTGGAAACACAGTTAAGGGACAGTTCACTAGTTTACTAGATCATTAATATGAAAAGTGTCTTATACTTCTGTTGTGTATAAAAACTGTTTTACTTTCAAGCATAACTTTTAATAAACTTTCTGACTTCAAAGATGTATCATAGGTAACAAATTAAGCCAATGCTAAGAACTTTATTTTTCTCATGCCACCTCTTCCCCTTTAATCCCTCCTCCTTTGTCCAAGAACCAAGCCGACTGGCACTGGGAGTTCTGAAGACTGTATTTAACTGAGTGGTTAGATGATTCCTGTGGGACATGTAATAGGTCTTGCAAACGCATCCCCCCACCCTTTTAGCATATAAAACACACAAATGTTCTGTAAGCATGTCTTCTATGGCTCACTGAATAGAGGAATATTTGAAGCAAAGGGACCTGCCTGAAATGGTAAAACAGTTTCATGTACTTTCAGTTATTATTAAACAGCTAAAATTAACTCCCATGCTTTACTAGAAGTAACTAAGTCTTACTGTAAAAAATCTTTCTTACAGAATGGTATAATTCTGACAGTTCAGTTTGTCATGAAAGTATTTATCTTTTATGTCTCTTGCTGTGACACCTTTGGCCTTCTGTCAAATCTGAATCTATCTGTTCAAAATCAAAGGAGGAAAAACCATATAGAATTTGGAGATGTTTTTCTAACTGAATTGTGGGGCAGATAATTTTCTGGTTCACTTTGGATTGGATAAAAGGTAACAAAAATAATACTTGTTGAAAACATCTTTTGCTGAGTATAAGTATTTTGTAATTATTTTGGCTCACTTATATGGCTTATTTAAATGAAACATTGAATTTTAAGTTGGCATTAATTTTTTTTCTAACATAGAAAATCTAAGTTCTTACATAAAATCTGTGTTTCTGACTTTCTTGAATAATCTCGACCTTGATGGCTTTCTGATTATTTTTGTTTGTTTATGTTGGACTAAAAGTACTGTGTTTATCTTATGGATCACTTCTACTATCATGGAAAGCTGTTTGAACCTACTGCTTTCTTTTTCCACCCGCAAATCTGAGGAGGGGGCCCTACTGTCTTTTACTTTTTGCTTTCTGATGTGAATAGTAAGCCCTTTATGAAAACAGCACTTAATTATTTATGTTGATTATTGTCCCCCTTCTTGATTTTGTTTTTGTTTTTTAATTCAGCAGCTCTTTCTGTTCCTCTTCTACCAGGATACCGGGCTAGATGGAGACCTAATGGAAGGAGTGGGAATGGGAACAGTCCTGTTAAGTGAAAAGCTTGGTTTGTTTGTTTGTTTTCCATTACTGCTTCAGCCATTACTTGTCTCTCACTTCTGGAACATTTGTGATTGTTCTGTGAACATAAAACTACAGGAGGGATGTCTGCATCTTCACCTCTCCTCCCCCATGGTGTGCAGGGACAGGTCCCTGACATACACAGTTGCTACAGCCTTGAGTTGCTCTAGTAACATTGAATTCCGTACAAGGATCATGTATTACACAAAAGCCTCATGCATCTCTGCAAAAAGGCTTCCTTGGACTTGTTTTCTGAGGGCCCAGTGACTGTTGGTCTTCAATGCTGTTCTCCCATTACATTTAGGATGTTAAAATAAGTAATGAGTTCTACATGGATGCTCCAAGACAGTTTACGTGTACAAGTTCATTGTGCCTTAAGAACAAAGCAAACAAGTTCCTTTGGAGGTTTAAATGAGAACTGCAGAATATTCCCTTTTTTTTTTTTTCTCCATGTTACTATAGGTGTATGCATTAAATGGAAACTTCAAATGCAACAGAGTGACTCAGAGACTGAGAGAGTTTGGTCTTTACACACCGCACAATGTTACGTGCTGTTGCTTCTGTGCACTCAGCACACTGCCCTGCTACATATTTATACATTTCCTTAAAATATGTCTGGTAATGCTTAAGACTACAGCATTATCAGCTGAAACATGAGGCAGTCGGTCATTCTCACATACAAAGTGTTGCCTTCTACATCTTTATGTAGTGGGGGCTATCAGGTAAAGGTGTGAATCCTAATTCTAGCCTTGCCTTTCTGGTACTCGGGACATAAGTCCACGGGAATTTTATATGTTTAACCTGTAGCTGCTTGCAGGTATGCTGAGAGTCTGTGTGGCCTGAAGACTCCTGGGCAATTTTCTGTTAAGCAAGTGCAGTTCTAAGTGTTAGGATGTAAACGTTATGAATCTTTCTTTTAATCTCAGCCCTCTAACTATAATATGTTTTTTTTATTTACTAATAAGAAAGATAAGCTGCTGTGAAAGGCTAGACCTCACAGTTCAGCTGCAGTGCTTCGCTGTCTACAAGAAGGCATTCTGATGTGGTAATCTGTGGAATGGTAATGCTGGATTTTAGTGCTTCCTTAGAACAGCTGTGCAACCTTCTGTCTCCACAGCTCATCCCTTAGGAGATCTAACTAGAAAATAATATTCTGGTAGTAATAAGAAATAAAATTAATATTGATTCAAAGTACTTGTCCTTAAAGGCAAACATTTCTTATGCCAAGAAATAAAATTTAATCTTAAAAGTTTTTGGTTTTTTTAAGTTTTACTTGTTTGGGAAATCACTTCCCTTATGATTAATTTCTTTCATCTATTTCTTTAATTCTTTCTAGCCTGCCTCATTTCTTTTTCACAGAATGCTCCTAAACTTTCTGGTCTGCTCCTTTTAACTTTTGCTGAGTACTCTGCTAGTGAAACTTTGCAGCCCCCTCCCCTGTTCTTTCTTTTGAGAAACAAAATAGGTAATGAGAGAAGGTCACAGAAGACTGGAATCAAAAAGCAGAAAAAGGGACTACTGAGAAAAGGCTTCAGCTCTCCTCTCATAAAGGTCAGGAAAGTTTGCTTTGAAAGGTTAACTTGGTATGCCCTGACAGTGTTTTATTATTATTGCACAGCCCATACTTGACTGCTTAAATTGTAAAAAAGTGCTGTTATGCAAATGTAATATTATGTGTACTAGCTAATCAGCGTTCAGGGCTTACAATGCTGTCTTATAACAAATGCCAAGTGTTTTTAGTAATATTTTGTAACTATACTTTAGTTCTGAGGCTCTGTAGCTCCTGTCACAGTAAGTTACATCACGAAAGCATGTGTTGGTGTGAACCAGTACTTTAGAATTAATTTACTAGTGTTCAGTCAGTTGCATTGCTACTTAATTGGCTGAATATTTCTATCCATATGATGTTCTCAGAGGTACATGCAGATGTGATAACGTACTGTTCTCTTTCAGTGGATGTCAGGATCTCCCCATGTGAATCAGCCATGTTAATTTTTTCTGATTTTCTAATGATAGCATAAAATCCACTCCCACTATCCTTTTTCAAGATCAATCCTTAGAATGAAAGCTAGACTGTTAATGTCTCTTGTCTGTCATTAAATGATCTTATGCTTCACAAATTGTTTGTCAGAAGATGAACAATCATATTACTCGGGCACCAACTCGCCAGGGAGTAAAAGTAATTTCTCTGTGATTCAGGGGGCACTTTTGAAGATCAGGTTAACTTGTTTTGTAATAGAAGTGTAAATTTATAAACTTCATGTTACACAGTCTTTAAGAACAACTTTGTCTTTGGAGATCAGTAATTAGATTGTAGGCCTAGCAAGGCAGATATTGGACCAAATTTAGTTTGCTGAAGAGTTGCCTATCAGTTCTCAGTAAAGGGAAGAAAAGACAGTAAGGAAAGGATGGGAGAAATCAAGGAAATCAGGATGTGTGGAAGAGGTTTGTTTGGGCTGAAGTAGTCATGCTAATGCTAACGAATATGAAAGAAACCCAGGCCTCCTGAGGCTCAATGAAGTCACTGTGATAAACAATTGAAGTGGATGCTTGGCAATACAGTTTCCGTAGCAGGGAGAGGAGCCCCACCAAACTGCTTTTGTAGAGCAGGGTAGTTGGTGATGAGGACCTATCTCCCCAGTCTGTGTGTTTCTGAGTTTACTTTGACGTGGCTCCTTTCTGGCCCTCCAGACTGAGGGCTTCTTACTTGTTGGAGCACGTTGGGTTCACTCTGAGCTTTCTAGTGTAGTTTCATCCAAAAAGAATTCAGTTTGTGTACTCCCAGTCTACTTTTTTGATGGAAACAAAAGCACTGTTAGTGAGGATGATCTTTAAAGTACCCTCATGATCTGAACTAACGTACTAGTGTAGGCACACCTGTACAAACTTAAGAGGGAAACAATCCTAGAGTTCTAAAACCATGGAGTTGAAACCATGTAAAAGAACAGCAGAACCTGGCGAGAGGTCTCTGGACACCAAGATTCCCCAAGAATAATTCCAGTGAAATATTTAGTAAAAATTCAAGTT